AAAGGGAGAAAGAGGATAGGTCTATAGATCGGTGCACAGGCACAGTGCCGGTCAGCTCTGACTGGCCACACGTGTCAGACTCTAAGCCGTAGGGAAAATGCTATGTGCACACAGGGAAAAAAGTATAATTCCAAATCAGGGTAAAATCACAATTAGGCATAACAAATAGGGGCAAAATCGCATGGGCATTCATGTCCTTTTGTACAAAGTTTAACACCATTAGGGGTGGATGACGGAGCAGGCAAACTGGTGCTTCCTTTTGAAATCATAGGGATAAATTCACAAAGTCAAAAAAACAGGGGCAAAATCATAATTTCGATACAAAACAAGGGTACAAACGCAAGAGCCCCATATATTTAAATGCACAAGCATCTCCAAACTTATCTCCTTGCGTCATTCAGGACACTGAACTCTCAAAAGATACTTTTATGTCACTTAATTTTTTGCGCCTTACTAGCGCCCAAACGTTCGGACGCTGGTGCCTACTGCTCCATTCACGTGCGTCCACATGCATGGTAGGAGCTCGTGCCCCACTCTGCGCCTCCTCGTCTAGACACCTGATCCCCATCCTGCTTCCCGCCCGCGCCCCTCTGCTTTTAGCATGCGTATGCCGCGCGGAGACCGCCTGCACCCTCCCCATCTGCTTTCGGCGTAAGTTTCTCGCACCGTCGTGAACGTCACCGGCATCAGGAAGAGGAGTAGGGGGCGGCAGATGCCCAGCCACGCCCGAAGGAGGAGAAGACACCGATGCGAGGCAATAGAAAATTAAAGCGGCGAGAGGGATGCAACACCCGATTTACTTTTGAAACATCAAGATGCAACACTTGCAACATACGTCTAAAGACAGATGAAACACTTCAAACATGCTTCTGAAGCACTTGCAAAAAAACACCTTGAAAACCATTGCAAAACAAACGCAATATCCAGATAAAACACTTGCAACATATGTTTGAAACGTATGCAACATCAAGATAAAACACACTTGCAACATACATCCGAAAACACTGATGAAACATTAGAAACAAACCTTTGCAACATACGTGTACAACCATTGCAACATCTCAATCTACTTTTGCAACGTCTGTATGAAACAATTGCAACATACATATGAAACACATGAAACATATGTTTGCAACATGCACTTTTAACACATCGCAACATCTCCTTGTTGCTTGAGAGAATGGAGGCTCGTCGGCGTATGGAGTTCACCGGAGACAGCGGCCCGGCAGCGCTTGTAGGCCCCACCCCCGCCATAGCCTCTCCTTTCTCTCTCTCTCTCTCTCCCGATGTGGTGGCATAGCGGGAAGCACAAAGCGCGGCCACCTCTACGCGCTGCGCACGGCCGGCCCAACAGTGCCCCAGCCGTGCAGTGCAGCCCCACCGCGGGGTGGCCACTTGCCCACATCACGCGCCGCGCGCCTCTGCCCCACTCTACCTCACTGCTCCTTCCACCAGATCCACTACACGGGGAGAGATTAGGTGGTCATGGGGACTGTGGCGCCAATTTGGTAAATGGTGGTGCTAGTCGATGGTGGCGACGGTGCGGCTGCCTCCGATGAACTCCACACGCCGGCGAGCCTCCATTTCATAGGCAACAAGTAGATGTTGCACTTGAAAGTGTATGTTGGAAGCATCTATTTAGAGTGTTGCAGATGTTTTAGAGATATGTTGCAAGTGTTTCATATGGATATTGCAAAAGTAGATCGTGATGTTGCATATGTTGCCATGTTTGTACATGTATGATGCAAATGTCCGTTCTCAATGTTTCATTTGTTTTTTCAGACGTATGTTGCAAGAGCATTTTATCTGGATGTTGCATATGTTTCACATATATGTTGCAAGTGTTTTATCTGGATGTTGCGTATGTTTACAATGGTTTCAAGTGTTTTTGCAAATGTTTCAAACGCATGTTTTAAGCGTTTTATCTGTCTTCATATGTATGTTGCAAGTGTTGTATGTGGAAGTTTCAAAAGTAGATCGGGTGTTGCATCTCCCTCCTACTGCCTCGTCTCGGTGTCTCCTCGTCGCCTTCTGCTGCCTTTGTATCCTTCTCAGACTACGAAGGGGGCGCGACGGGGGCCAGTGACGTGCCGGGAGATGGCTACATGGATGCGAGCGCATGCTCTCCCCTTCTCTGTTACGTGGGCAGGGCAGGGATACTGCTTCGAGCAGCCTGAGATTAGATTTCCGTTGGTGGGCCACGACACCAGCCCACGGTTGGTGGAATCGTTTAACAGTTGGCTACATTCGGAAGCCCTGTTCAGCTGGTATTAAAGCCGGCTAATAAGCCAGCTCCAGCTGATTTGTCGTGAAAGAAAAATACTGTAGATTCTAGCTGATAAGCCGGCTGATAAGTTTAAGCGAACAAGCCCATCCAGGGCGCCGCAAGTCCGGATGCTAGCATCTCCCTTCCAAAAAAAAAGTGTTAAGTGTGCACACGAACAGAAGGTTCAAATTGGTCAAACGCCGGGCTTGTGATAAATAGTGGGAAGTACACTAGTAGCAAACTGCCACAAAAGTTTCAAAAAAAAAGAACTACCACAAAAGGGTCACAAGCTCACAAACATGAACAGAGAATCCAATCCGTATCCGGTATCCCCTCTAAAAGTGTAATTTAGGAGAACGTGTCGTGAGCACGTGTCGTGTTAAGTTGTGCCATTTAAAAGAGAATGGAGTGAGTAAACCTTATCATGGGGCTTATTAATGTGAATACTAGTTTAAATCAATGATGACTGTATGGAGTGACCAAAGAAAATATTGGTGTTCATTTTTTAACTTTATGATTTTATTATAGTTTTTTGAATCTAAATCCACTATTCATCCATGTTCTAGACACCGTTAACTCAGAAGGTCGAATAAATGAATTAAAGAAAAGAAAAAATAAAAAAAAAATAAAACACGATACTAACCCCTACCTTATACTAACTCCTGCTGGTGGTTGATTAAGCATGTGAAACTTATTAAACTTTGCTTAGAATTGGAATTTATAAATTTTACTGTAAAAATTCTTTAGAAATGTTGTTCAAATATTTGATGCCAAAACTACAGGGTACCAAAAAACTTTGGAAAAGTTCACATAGAAAAACTAGTCTTTTTAGCTAAACTAACATTAACATGGATGAAGTCCGCCTTTGTTTTGGAAAAAAATAGAGACAAAATGATAAAGTTAAATAATAAGGATAAAATCATAATTAGAAGAGTTAAGAACATAACAGGGAAAAAAACAATGATGTTGCACCAAAATGCTGTTTACTTGCCAATACTTCTTTAAAATTAGCTAGATCTCATAAAGTCATATGGTTAAGTTTCAAGTGTGAGCAAGGTTCACTTGGCAAAAAGGAGAACGTTTCCAAAAACGATGATGATTAGACCTGGGCATCTGTCCGTCCGTCCGGACCAACCCGCTCATGCCGCTCACCCACATCGCACGGCACCGCTCGCGCTGCTCGCTTGCATCCCCCCAAAAAAGGAAAAGAAACCATCGACATGCACTCTGCTTCGTATCCACGGCCGCCGTAGGCAACGCCACCGCCCCACCCTCGCTGGTCGACGCCACTGGCTCCGCACCGCCTGCATCCCCGCCCCAGCCTCTCCTTCATCTCTCTCTCTCCCTCTCTCCCGACGTGGCGGCACAACGGGAGGCCCAAAGCGCAGCCACCTCCATGCACTGCGCACGATCGGCCCGGCGGTGGCCCAGACGTGCGGCGCAGCCCACGGCGAGGTGGCCACTCGCCCACATCACGCGCCGCGCGCCTCCGCCCCACTCTGCCTCACTGCTCCTTCCATCAGATCCGTTGCACGGCGAGATATCCGGTGGCCGTGGGGACTGCGGCGCCGATCTGGTCGATGGTGGTGCTAGTCGATGGTGGTGATGGCGCGACTGCCACCGGTGAACTCCACACGCCGGCGAGCCTCCATTTCGTAAGCAGCAAGTAGATGTTGCACTTGAAAGTGCGTGTTGGAAGTGTCTATTTCAAGTGTTGTAGAAGTTTTAGAGATATGTTGTAAGTATTTCGTATGGATGTTGCAAAAGTAGATCGAAATATTTCATATGTTGCAATGTTTGTACACGTATGATGCAAATGTCTGTTCTCAATGTTTTATCTATTTTTTCAGACGTACGTTGCAACAATGTTTTATCTGAATGTTATATATGTTTCACATATATGTTGCAAAGTATTTTATCTAGATGTTGCGTATGTTTACAATGGTTTCGAGTGTTTTTTTAAGTGTGCTTTGCAAATGTTTCAAACGCATGTTTTAAGTGTTTCATCTGTTTTTATACGTATGTTGTAAGTGTTGCATCTGAAAGTTTCAAAAGTAGATCGGATGTTGCATCTCCCTCCTCTCCTACTACCGAGGGATGGCTGCGCGGATGCGAGCACACGCTCTCCCCTTCTCTGTTATGCGGGCAGGGCGGGGATACCGCTTCGAGCAACCTGAGATTGGACTTTCGTTGGTGGGCCGCGACACCAGTGCACGGTTGGTGAAATCGCTTAACAGTTGGCTGGTGGGGAGCTGTGTCCGAAAACGTCCCGGGTGCTGCAAGTCCAGGCGCTAGCGTCTCCCATAAAAAAAAGTGTTAAGTGTGCACATGGCCAAAAGGTTTAAATTGGTCAAACGCAGGGCTTGTGATAAATAATGGGAAGTACCCTAGTAGCAGACTACCACAAAAGTTTCAAAAAAAAAAGAACTACCACAAAAAGGGTCACAAACTCACAAACACGAACAGAGAATCCAATCCGTATCCGGTATCCCCTCTAAAGAAAGCGAAAGCTTGCGACGTATATGAAGCTGACAGGTGGGCCAACACCTCTCAATAAAATTAAAACCCCACAGGCTCCGCCATCTTTCCATTTTCCCCCCATAATAAAAAAAAAAGCAGAACGCGAATCCACGGAGGCTTCTGCTTCGGCTTCGGCTTCCATTCCGTTCCCTTGCCTTTTGCGGAAAGCCGGAAAGCAATACGAACCCCCCGCCCTCGTCGCCGGCCGGCCGCCATGGTGACGACTCGCAGCGGAGGGAGAGGTGGAGGGAAGCGCGGCGGCGGCGCGAAGCGCCCGGCGGCATCGTCCTCCCTGCTGCTCTCGCCGACCAAGCGCGGCAAGGTGAACTTGAGCTCCTCCTCCTCCTCCTCCACAAAGCGCAAAGCGGGAATACGGCATTGGTTGGATGGAGCTGACGTGGGCTGGAATCGCAGGCGGAGAAGGCGTCGGAGGCCTCCGCGCCCGAAGCTGGGGCGGCGCCGGCGGCGGGGACGCGCTCGGGCCCCAAACCGTGGGCGAAGCTGCTTTCGCAGTGCTCGCAGGTGCGTGCGTGTGTTGGGTTTGACAGTTTGACTCTCGACATTTACTTGGGCGCCAGCCAACATTCCGTATTGTGCTCTTCGGGTCTTCCTGGTGGTTCTTCCCTGGATTCTTGATCTGAAGCGGCTTCTTGACGGTTCTTGCCGTTTGGTCGTCTGCGTTGTGCCATTTCGGAGCCTACTTGCATTCTGTGCATCGGTTCGGGAAGCTGTACGGCATTTGTGCAATTTGTTTGTTTGTGGTCTTGGGGTTCTAGCTTTTACTTTTAGCGCCTTTGCATCAAGTCCACGTGTTCTGCACTTCTGGTTGCTGGTGCAGAACAGTGTCCACATTCTGTGCAGTTTCTTGAATGTTCTTGGAATCCGTTAGTTATCAGTGGTTTCTTGGTCCGGAGGAATTCCTTGATTGGAGTATTAGGATTATTCCGAAAGTTGTACCGTTGTCGTTTCTCTTTCGTAGGGATCATAATGGTTTTTAGGACAAGGACATGTTCTAATGGAGTTATTAAACCACCATTTCTGATTTTATTATAAAACACTCGTAGAAGGTCAAACGTAGGTGAACGTCTGAAATATTCTTCTCGGTGTGGTGACTGCAAGAAAGTCTGTATTTAATCTTCATGGGATCTTTCTGCATCTCAAATGTGTGAGAACCTGTAATTTTGTCGTCATGGTTCATAAATTTTGAGTTACCTCTTTTATTTTGTGATCAATCAGCTGAAAACATTCCTCAGTCTATTTGTAACTTGTGCATTTGTTTTTTTAATTTACCTTAATTAATCAGGCCATATTGCTCATTTGATATTAACTGATGTTGAATATCAACCATCTGTGATTGCAGACCCCCCATGTTCCTATCTTTGGCAACCAAATTTCTGTTGGTAACGATAAAAACAGTGACATATGGTTGGATGACCAAACTGTTAGTCAAGAACTATGCATATTGCGGCGTCTTGAGGTCCTTTATGCTTCTCCTTTGTTAGAATGCAGTTATTTGTTATGTTTGTTGACTTCTTGCATAAACTTGGTCTTTTTTTTTTCATTTTCCAGCAAGGAGGTTCATGTGAGTTACAGGTCACGGGAAAAAATGGTGAGGTTGCAGTAAATAAAAGAAAAACTGGAAGAGACTCCAAAGTTCCCCTCATAGGAGGGGATGAAGTTGTTTTCGGTCAATGTGGCAAGCATGCCTATGTATCCATACATTATCAAATTTTGTTCATACACCATACATGTCCATTTCATTCTTCTGTCCATTCTCTATTGATTTGGATGCTAATAGGTACTTCAGCAATGATATAATGAGTCAGATTTGTTAGTTTGACTTCCTATCTTGAGTGATCCATAACATGCTGGCAGATTTTTCAGCATCCTCTAAGGGGTAATGAAGTTACTGCTGGATCGGCTGGAGAGAATAACCAGAGGGTAGTCGGATCTGGTAAGATTACAATTAATTACGTATGATCAGTTTGGATATTGTAGGACCAACTTTAATTGAGGTTGACTTGACTGGGTGAATTTTGAAGCTCTTGAAAATCAGAGCGATTGCATCAGGTCTAGTCCATCAGCTTCTTTGCCTCCGAGCGGATGGCAAGCTTTTAAGGATGGACTGAAACAAGAGATTCTGAGCCCAAAGGATATTGAAGTAACCTTTGATAATTTCCCATATTATCTCAGGTAATATGCTAGTTCTAGATTATACAGTCTTGTGTATTTTCATTAAGAGCTCTGTTATCAGCTCTGTTATCTTCCAGTTTTTCTCTGAACTTTTTCTGTTTGTTCATCAGATTTCAGTATTTTGCCAAAGTAATTGGGCCAAAGCAATCTATCCTTTGCTATAGTTTTGGTGGCTTGGTCCTAAATACCACCTTTTTTTTATTAATCTGTGCTCGTTTCATGCAGTGAGAGCACAAAGGAGATACTCTTATCATCTGCATTCATACACATGAAAAAGAAGTCTAGGAAATTCTTACCAAAACTTTCACCTTTAGACCAGCGAATTCTGTTATCTGGCCCACCAGGTAATTTTTATGAATTTTTTATTTTGTTGTGACAAAATAATGTCACGGAGCTGTGTTACACACACTGTTATGCCTAGCTGGCAATTTCTTGGTGTTTGCTTTTCTGTATGTCTCTAACTATTTGGCAAAAACTTGCTTCTAGGATCTGAAATTTACCAGGAAAGATTGATAAAGGCACTTTCAAAGCGTTTTGATGCTAGACTTCTGATACTTGATTCTCTTATGCTGTGTGGTGTAAGTTCTACATGAGCTCCCTTTACTGATATACACAGTTCAAAATTTTACCAAACTTTTCAAGTTTTCAACTCCTCAATATGTAAGCAGAAACATGCATATTATTGATTAAGAGATAATATTCTAGCAGACGTCTTCTAAGTTTGGAGAGTCCATAAAGGATGTCCGGAGGGATGTTGCACCTTCTAGTTCAGGAGATGATATTGTGGGGACATCCAACAGACACACTTTCGAAGAAGGTTTTTGTTGCCCGTTTCTTTATTTTTCTATATTAACATTTAACTCTTTCTTTAATTGAACCTTTACATCTTTTTTCTTATGCAGGTGATTGGGTAGAGTATACTGGTACTAGTTCATTAAATCTGGCACCAAGGTATTTTTGTTGAGAGCTATGCTTTCGTGTTTCATTTTAACTTAGCAATGGTGTGTCTTAGATCTCTATGGATTTTTTGTGATTGCATTTTGCCAGATGTGTTCTGAAGTGGAGTTATGAAGTGGAGTTAATTTGTATGACCCGGACAGTGAATGTTGGAACCCCTTGTGTTCTTGAGCTTTGACAGACTTGAAATGAGGATATCTTTCAACCTTATTCTAGTATCAGTGGAAGGAACATATTTATGAAGCAATAGCATTTTACAGACTCAAAATGGCGTTTCTTCTGACTAAATATCTTTTTGAGTGTATGATTTCCGAATTTGAGTTACATGAACTTGAATTGAAATCAGAGAGGACTTGATGTAGTTAGATATTGATTAATCTTTTTTGTTGACACTGATTAATCTTTTTGTTGTGGTGGTCATGTGATTATTTTGTTGCTGAGATACATTTTTTCTCATTCTGATGAGTCGTTTGGTTGATTCACAGGGGCCCTTCTTGTGGTTCTCGAGGCAAAGTGGTGCTTGCTTTTGGAAAAAACCGGTCCTCCAAAGTTGGAGTTAGATTTAGCAATCCTGTAACTGATGGTAATGATCTTGGAGGTTTATGCGAGGAAAATCATGGCTTCTTTTGTCATGGTTAGTCTGAACTCTGAACTTCTTAAGCAATGTATATTGTGGTAATCTTATGTGAGATAAGTTTTCAACATTTCTTCAGCTTTGGAACTTCGGCCAGACTCTTCTGGTGGAGTTGATAGCATTGCTTTAGGAAAGTTAATTGAGGTAATGGCTGTTATAGGCGATCATCCTCACTACACTTTTTTTCCCTTATAACTGCCTGTAACAACATGGTTTTGGTTTTCAATGCCTTTCAGGTCATTTCAGAAGAAAGCAAAAGCAGTAGTTTGATTGTGTTACTCAAGGATGTAGAGAAATCATTCACCGAATGTAGAGAATTGCATACATCACTAAGTGAACTTCCTGCTGGTGTTCTGATAATTGGGTCTCAGATTCATGCAGAGAACCGCAAGGATCAGGTATACTTGTGCACCTATTAGGGAACAAAATGAAATTTGGATTAGAAGTTGTCAAGACATGAAGGATGAAGCATGTTTGGGTTAGAGTTGGACAAAATGCTTACATGTAGGCTGTCCCTGAAAGGTTATTTGTCCTTGAATTATCATTGAAGTAACAAGTCGGTGTGAAGTTATATTTCCATGCTTTCCCTATTTCTGTGAAAAATGTTTACAGTAACAGAGTGCTCTGTACTGTTTTCTAGTCTCATCCTGGAGTTCCGGGGCTTCCTAGAGACATCCAGGCACTGCTTGATATTATTATGGTAACATTTTCATCCGTTTGCATATTATTTTTCTGTGGGTCTATAAAATTTCTTGACATGCAACAGTTAATATTTTTAAGCCTGCTGTAGTTTTTTTTTGCATTTAGTGGTACAATATCAATTATGTTTGATCCGTTTTTTAATGCATGTTTAAAAAATGCAGGAAACCTTCCCAAGCAAATTTCCTACCAAGCCAATGGATTCCTTGAAAGACAGAAGCAAATGTCCTACCAAGTCAATGGAGCATCTAAATAATCTTTTCCCTAATAAAATTTGCATTAAACTTCCCCAGGTATTGTCATCCTTAGGCACTTATGTTACACATTGTGCATGTTGATGGTACTTTGTTTAACCTGGAGATTTTTATATACGTTTTTTGGGCAGAATGAAGCACAGCTATCTGATTTCAAGAAACAACTAGATTGTGATACTGAAACCCTTAGAGCTAAAGCCAATATTCTTAATATTCGTAAGGTAAGCTGCAATTAAGGTATAACATTTTATTGGAATGTAAACAATGTGTACCATCACACTTAAGTGATTCTGAAATAGAATTTTATGATACATTGATACTTCATACTTGATTCGAGTTGTATATTCCTTTTTTAATGTTATATGCACTTGAAATTTATTTCCTTATTAGCTTTCTTCTATAATATCATCATGGAAATGGCCTTGAAATTTGAAGCAATACTTGCTAGAATGCTAGTCCCTGATAGGCCAATACCTTTTATGGCCACATCTTCAGCTGTTCATTCCATCCCTGATCTGAAGTGTGAACCTCCCGAACAAATGTTATGTCTCTTACAATGTTTCGTCATTGTAGTTTCTGATCAGCAGAGGAATTGAATGCAATGAAATTGAATGCAATGATCTTCAAGAATTACCTATCAAAGATCAATTACTAACTAATGAAGGTAAGGTGTTTCTACCTTCTCATCGACCAATTCTTTCATCCTTTTCATTTCAATAATAACACTATTGTAAAAAAATATATATTGTTTTGATTTACTTCAGATTTGGAAAAGATTGTTGGATATGCTATTAGTTATCACCTTCATGACAGTGAACCCCCAAATGATGGCAAATGGGTACTTCCAATCGAAAGGTAAAAATACGATGCTAATATAAACATCAATTGATCCTTCTGTGGAATGCTAAGTAGCATTGTGGATACAGGCTCAAGCATGGATTCAGTATGTTACAGATTGCACAGAGTGGAGCTAAGAGATCAAAGAATGCACTAATGGTGACCCATCCATCTCTATATATATCTGGTTACAAGTCCCTGATACTCAAATTCATGCAAGTCGTTTTTTCAGGATGTGGTCACAGAGAATGAATTTGAGAAAAATCTTCTATCAAATATTATCTCACCTAATGACACTGGAGTTACCTTTGCGAACATTGGAGCCCTGGACAATTTGAAAGATACACTGAGGGAATTGATAATGCTCCCTCTGCAAAGATCTGAATTGTACAGCAAAGGGCAGCTAACAAAGGTGCTCGCCTAATTTTAAAAGAGCAAAGTGGCCCGACATATTTGCCTACTAACTATCAGTTATATTTGGAAGTACTACCAATGCATTTCTTTCTGGCAGCCTGTGAAGGGAATACTGCTCTTTGGACCTCCTGGAACAGGTAAAACATTGCTTGCAAAAGCAGTAGCAACTGAGGCAGGTGCAAACTTTATCAATGTATCAATGTCAAGCATTACCTCAAAGGTACTATTCAACAGAAACAGTTGGTATTCGCATTGGAGGGGGGTGTGCAGAAACTCGGTTCTGGGTGCTATTTTTTGGTCAGAAGATGTTCCGTTAAATCTGATGACAATTTTATTTTTTTTGTTCAGTGGGTTGGAGATCAAGAGAAATACGTCAAGGCCATTTTTTCTCTAGCTAGTAAACTATCTCCTGCAGTAATATTTGTTGATGAGGTGTGCAAGCAAATGGGTTGTCCATTGTTTTATTCTGTGTTTTGCACTCACAACTGTGTCTTTTCCTTTAATAACAGGTTGACAGTTTGCTAGGAATAAGGGAGGACCAAGGGCATGAGAGGCAGCGCATAAGATGAAAAATGAATTTATGATACATTGGGATGGTTTGCATACTAAAGAGCAAGAACGCGTAATCGTTCTTGGAGCCACAAATAGGCCATTTGACCTTGATGATGCTGTTATTCGAAGGTTTCCTCGCAGGTAAGCTTTTATGATCCCCTGAACTAGACTGATTTTGTATCCATTCCTTAACTCTTTGCACCAAGTCTTATTGGCAGATTAATGGTGAGCCTTCCTGACAAGTCAAATAGAGAAAATATTTTGAAAGTAATACTATCCAAAGAAACATTAGAACCAGATGTGGATCTTGAATCAATTGCCAAAATGGCTGATGGATATTCAGGAAGTGACTTGAAGGTATGTTGCTGTGCCTTAAGACTCTTCAGAAATGAGAAGGGATTGCAAACTTATCATAATGATCCCTTCCCTGCAGAATCTCTGTGTAACTGCGGCACATCGTCCCATTCGTGAAATTATTGAGAAGGAAAAGAAGGTGTGCGCAGAACCTCCATCTATGGTTTAGCCGTTTTGATGCATCTCACACCATCTCTGTCTCTTGGTAGCTCTAAAATATCATTTGTTTGATACAGGAGAAGAGTCTGGCAATAGCTGAAGGTAGACCTGAGCCTCCGTTGTATGGAAAGAAGGACATTCGCCCACTTGGAATGGATGACTTGAAATTTGCGCTTGGACAGGTGAAGGAATAGTTAATTTCTACCTATTTCTGGCATGCTATGGGCACTTCTACTGTTAAGATTACCTTTTCCCTTAGCACATGTTATAAGCACATGATAATCAGTTGAGCTTTTCACTGTAGGTGTGTGCTAGCGTTCCATCTGATTCAGAAACCATGGCCCAAATTTCTGAGTGGAATGATGATGAGTTGGAAGCGGCAGCGGTCGAGAAAGAAGAAGACTCTACCGACACAACAGTCCACATACTTCATGTAGCTGAACTTGAATATAGAGAAACAGCAGCATCTGTACAGTTGCTTTATACTTGCCAAACAGGCATGTCCTCACAAGTAGCCATTCCTGATCCTGAATAGGTCAGGGTTTTTTCCTGCTCCAACATACAGCTGCCATCGCCTGACACACTCCCCTGTAATTAGTTAGATTGCCTAATGAAGTACTCGTATCTGGAGTCAGAGGATTGATATGATTTTTTGCTGTTGTAACTGAGATCTGTAGTCGTTGCCCCATACCATCTTCTTACACCCTTTTAACTATTCTGCAAATTCTTTTTTTTTTCTTTGTATAAAACTATTCTGCAATTCGGGATAGGCCTTACATGTAAAGAACAGATAATATGAATTAGAGATAGCCGTGAATTGGTGTCAATTTGATTGATTGCTGCAGAGATAGCCTGGTTATATATAATGGCAATATCTTATAATATATTTTGTTGTACTTAACAACTCTGAGCTGCTGCTTGCCTACGAAATTAGCTGTAATTTCTGATAATGGGTAACCATGTGTATGGATGCCAAAGTTGAAACCTACTCCAGATGAACAAGAGCATCTGTAGCTGAGCTATGGATTCGGAAGGTGAGATTGAAATGATGATAGTTAACACAAAGTTGGATGTACGGTAGCGGGAGGCACCACATTCTTGGGTTTTATTTACAGAATCGCAAAGTCTAGTCAACCTCAAGCATTGTCTTATAATCACACACACACACACCTGGTGACTACAATTGGCTTCCTGGCCCTGCGAACCGACCATTCGGCTGGCGAAGGGAGCCAATCTCGGGAGCAAGGACAGCTGGTCCAGATCTAGCGGCGAGCTCAGCCCGTGGCGGTAAGTGTGAATGCGGATCTACTATATATAGCAGGGCAGCGAAGGAAACACCAACTTGGCGACAAATCCTCATTTCCTCTGTAAACAAATCCACTCTGTGTTTACCGTCTACGTTTACGTAACCAATCAATGAACAAAACACTATTTTGAGAATGTGCGGTTGGTGTAGGTCCTGCTAGAGCTAGAGCTAGAGTCTCTCTATTTCAAGAGCCCTGCCAAAAAAAAGGCTCTAAATCGACATGCTGGACCCAAATTAAGCCGAGTAGGGTGCACATGTCCTCACTCAACTCAAGCTGCATTGCGAAAAATCGACATGCACTATATCTTCTCTTGGAGGGAGATGTCCCTTTAGTGGAGGGTAAATTCCCAGGAGTTGGTGGGGTTGTGGTTGACGATCGCGTAGATCTTCACGCATTGGGCTGCCGCCATGGGAGTCTGACAGGCAGCAGCAGCAGAATAAGGAGAAGGGACGCCATGGCAGAAGCACTCGTGCTCTTTAGCATAGCCATCATCCTTGGCCTAGGTATATTTCCCTTGTCACTCATCATTTGTGCCATGAGGCTTCGTGGGCAGCGCTTTTATATCTGAGCAGGCTCCGGCCGTGCTTGGAGGTGGTGTATGGGATCGAGCACTCCCTCCCTCCGTCCCCATGTATGTAGCGTTGTAGCCGTGTTTCTGGTAGTCTAAATTCAAAGCATCTTTTATGTACCTATAGTTGTCATATATGTCCAAGTTCAAAGAATCTTGCATGTATGTGGTAGAAGGCTAAAACGACAATTAAATGGGGACGGAGGATGTGCTGGCATTACCTTATCTTTTAATTAATGATATGCGTGGGCTAAAATTAAAAGAAGCAGTATTTTGTGTGTATAGAATGACTAAAAATGACCTTATTTTGTTGCACCGCAGGGAAAGAGATAACAATAACAATAATGCTAGCCCACGGGCATCCGTTCCATCCAGATACGGCTCATCCTCATTCACTCATCCGCTCTCTCTCAAAAAACCAACACACACAAACGCATAGGGGCGTTGTCTGGAAATTCCCCAAATCAACCTCAAGCCAGCCCATTTGCCTGCCTGCCTCTCTCCACTTCCGCTTCCTCTCCCTCCCTCCAGCTCCACTGCTCCGCTTAGCCTCGGCGTGCGGTGCTCGCTGTGGCTCGGTCCGGCGGAAGGACAATATGTCGGCCTCGACATCGTCACCGCCGGCGGGCGAGGAGAAGCAGGAGGCAGCGCCTGTCAGGCACTGCAAGGGCGTGAACGACCTCGACAAGGTCGTGCTCCGCGAGGTCCGAGGCAGCTCCGCAGAGGTACCCGTCTGCCACTCCCGCGAGTCACCGGGCATGTTCTGACTGTCGTATCCTGGCGCAGATCCGTGGCGCTTGCCATGTGTAACACCCTCGGTGTTACACTATACAGTTTTTGCTAAAACACTGCATGAGCATCATACTTATGTGTAAATGTGTGTAATATAGGGTGTAAAACAATATATGGAACTTGAAGCGTTCATCGGAAACACAAAACGAATGTTACATTTCATGCCGCGTTGTATCACTTAGTGTTCTAAACGAATTTTTATTGAACGGGAATGCTATAGAACGCATAGACGAAACTTTGATAAAGTTGGTAGTACAAACTTCGTAGGAGGCGGTGAAATACTTGTGGTCGGGAATGGGGTTCACTAGATAGCATAGTTGGTAGCTTAGAAATCGAAAGTGATGCGAATCCGAACAAATAACTTAGTCGTTTCTTAAGTCGGAAAATGGTTCGATGGAGCTAAGTTCGACAATTTTTATAGGAGAATTGGGTTAAGCGGTGGCATGGTCTTAAGGTTGGTTTTAGTAGCTTGATACACCATCTCGAACGTAAAATAGTTGGTTTAGCTACTGGATCCTCGAGTTGGGTTTTTTAGCAGCTTTAAAAAGCGTGCAAGTCACATTTTTTAACGGTGCCAGCATTTTGGTCGCGGTCACCCTGCCGATGCTCGGCGTTGCCGCGCCGGCCGCCGACGCGCACGCACGCCGCACGCGTGGCTCCGCACTGCCGGCCACATCCACCTGCTACCGCGCTCTGGCACACAACCCACACGCTGCAGCGCCGCACGTGGGTCCAGCCGAAGTCCGCCACTCGCCACGCCGACACGCCCGCTGAGCCTTCGCCGCCGCCATCGCCATCGTCGTCGCGCGTCGATCTGCGCGCCCACGGCCACACTGCCGCACCCGACCATCGCTACCGTTGACCCTTGCGGCTGCACGTGCGTGGCCCTGCCCTCGCCATCACGTCCGCACGCGCTGCGTCACCATGCTACTGCCCCCAAACCGGCGTCTACCTCTGCGGCGCGCTGTGCCGTGCCACCGTCGCCTTGCGGGTCGTGGAGCTGCAGTCGCACGTCACCGTGCCAGACCCATACGCGCACGTGGAGCCTTCACCGTCATGCTGCCGTCCTTCTCCAATTTGAAAATTTCACCACGCCAGACCACCGTCACATCGACTGCAATGGCGCCGCGTCGGTCGTGTCGCGCCAAGGCAGTAACCGTAGAGCTGGCCCTGGCTTCATAATTGCGCACGTCTGGAGGTCGAGTGGGAGTCCAGCTTCGTGCCAAGATTGCCGCTGCTGCCGTCGTACGATGTCGGGGCTTTAATTGGAGTTTTCCCCGCTGTCGACCCCATTAAGCCCGAACGTCGTCGTCCATCAAATTGATCGTGTGTAGTCCACCTCTTTCCAATTCACCGTGCACCTAACTAGACCTGTTAGTTAGCCAGCAATTGGAGTCGTTTCGGCAAGCTTCCATTCTACAGTGAGGTAATGCGGCGCATTCTTCTCGCGGCGGTCCGCCATGGCCGCCGAGGCGGGCGCTCGGCCAGGATGTCGCCCCTTGCTCATTTGTCTCAATTGAGCAGGGTTTTTGCGTCTCCTTGATTGGTTTGCCTCGCCCGTACAGCGACTTCGCCGGTGGAGCAGTAGGTCACCGGGGACGTCGTCGCCACGCTTGCCATGAACCAGAGTCACCCCGCGCTCATGGCCAACCACCTTGTCGAGCTCCACGACTTTGTCCTGTTTGCCCTACGCATCTCTGGTGAGGCCCTCTTGCTCCTAGGGTAGGTGGTTGAACCGCTTGAGGTCTAGGTCGCCGGGACGAGTTCGCTGCCACCGGTGAACTGGTGTGGATGTCGTTCCCGTGGCCGGCGCGATTGGGGTGGTAGTGATTCAATTAGGACTTCTACATTGTTGCTCGTAGTCTACAGATGGATACAGGGTAGCTGTAGAGGTGTTGGGCTAAGTACATTCGCCGGTGCCGGTGTTGCCGCGGCCAGACCCTGCCGCGGTGCATGGCCAC